TGTCAACCACCTGGACTGCTCTCTTTACTTCGTGTTTATCCTTTGATAATCGTTGAACTAAAGCACAACGAATTTAACCACTGTCCTCTAACTCTCGAAGGGTTGACATCCACATCAGTTTTGATACCGATGAAATTCAAAGTCAGACTAGACTCGAAGGCGAGCAACAATGGCTCAGTATCGCATAACAATTCATGCTGCTAACGTGACGTGAATTACCGCTTATGCAACCTACGGTATGCAGATCTAAATCACCAGCAGTTTTGTGATTTTTCACGGATTTTTCATATGTATCTGTTTAAGATTCAACCGGATTATTTCCAGGTCAATCGTTTGATCATTGTTTTTCATAAGATCCAAGGCCTAGTTATAAACGGACGTATCCATCAGTTATGTTTTCCAGATTTTGTCACGCTCATCCAAACTGATATAACTTTTTTCCTCAAGGAAAGAATAAGATGACCTAAAAGGACTGGTTTAAATACAATACTGTGTGTTTCGCTTCAGGTGTACACCTTGAAGGCGGACCCAAATCGATCAATGTTTTCTTTATGGGTTACGTACAACGTTGTTTGTTTCATTGCTCTTATTGCTATTAGTTTAGTTTTTAGTCCGAAAAATTCGCCCCTTTAATCACAATCTAGTCACTAGTTCTCTTCATCTTCAGTTGTTATCCGATCTTAGGTAAACACACAGTGAAAAGTTCAAAAATACCCTTTAACCCGGTTTTTGTCGTAAGATAGGGATGAAACAGAAATTCAAAATCTATTTTTGTGTATCCTGCTCTGTTCTGGAGCGCATCCAAGGGGCCTTCTCTAACTAGGCCTATCGGAATAGAGTCGCATGGAGACGCATGCTTTTCCAGATGGTGAGTGCTTGGATTAGCCCATTCGGTTTTCCACAGGCAGCAGGCATTATTGATGATGTTCGGTGTGGGCTTCACTCCTTGGGAAATTGTCACTTTACCACTAGGTGAATGCATTTACATGCGATGGAAATGTTTGTGACATCCAACAAATAGCTCTGAACGGCTGTTTCGTCCTTTTCGGGATTCGTCAGCAGTGTGTATGTTCGGTGGCCCTGTCAGGACTCGAACTACCCACTGCTGACGAGTCCAAAACAGGACGAAACAGCTGTTCAGTGTTCTTTGTTGGTTATCATAAGCGATTCTCTCGCATTCAAACGCATGCTTTCACTCCAATGTCTGTGTTGCGTGGCAACATTAGACTAATTTGCCAGCCAACACCTTAGAAAAACCATCTAAAACTGACAACTTAAAACAAATTTGATGTGCTGCAGCAAATGGGAATTTCATAAATTAGCATGATTCTCATAAATTCTGATTATTTTCTGCGTGTACATGCAATAATCAACTTTTTGATGAATCACTCATATGAGAAATTTGAACCATTCAGTTCCTTTTATCCATTTCATCAAACAGAAAGAACACAAATGTCGCGAGATGTTAACGAGAAGATTAAACGAAATGTTAACATCTCGCGACATTTGTCTTCTTTCTGTTTTGATGGAATCACTCATAATCAGACCATAGTTGATAGAGAACGAAATTTTTCTATTCATTTTTCTATGCCTAAATTCTAGTGTGGTTGGCTACATGAGTGAACCACATTCATTGGTTTTCTATTGTTTTTAAAAAAGTAACGTTAAAAGTCTACCTAATTCCTCCAATACTATTGCTTTAAAAAAATCAATAGTAGAAATAATTTAAGATATGCAAACGATTTGTTTGGCAAGATGGCAAACTGCTGGTGCAACGATTTTGATGTTTTGAGTAAATAGGATAACCTTCTTTTACTCGATATATGAGTAAAGCCTAATCTGATTGGACACATTAAGAGCCCTTGTTCCATTTCAACAGACCAGTCAAAAGACAAAAACTACAAAAGGAATTCATTTCGTTTAGTCTCATCCGTCGCGTGCATATAATAATAAACAAGAATGACAAATACGGACCGAAATGCGAAATCTATATAGCTTTCATGGTGGCTGCACATGCTTAGGCACAACCGGAGTAGAAATCAGTTTGATAACCATGAGAAGAAAAAGGGTGCATAGACTGTCATTCGTCATTCGGTAATAAACTATTTATGACGGTTTATTATTTTTGCTCTACAAAAATCACACCAGAAACTGAAAATAGGTTTATCATTTTGGAAACAAATATCTCTAAGAAACTTTCCATGCAGCATTAGTGTGGTACGTCTCTCGATCAAGGTTGGGGTCGAACCTGAGACTTCAATAATGGAACACCATCACAATGCATCCGTCATCAGGGAATGACTGAATAAAATTATTTATTTAGGACATAATTTATAACTATTTATCGTAGTGTTACATTGTCACCAGTACAACTTCAGTAGTTCCGTGTAATATGCAATAGTCTGGTGCGTAAAAAATCTCAATTGAAACACAGAAGATGCATTGTTTCGCATTCATAAGTCCTGGAATATATCAAAACGCGATACAATAAAAAAAACAAATGCTTCTAGGCGTTTTCTCCACTTAAAATAAACTCCCTTCTCTGGAAACAGACACATTAACAGGCCGAGGATAATGAACACCGTTCACAAGACTGCACTGTCATTGATATGCTCAGTTAACCAACACCGCAACGTTTGAAATCATTACCACAATATAAGGTCAAGAATTACGCGTTTTGTCTAAAAAGTAATGGAAAAAGCAATGGTCCGTTGCAAAACACAGTTCGTTCCAACTGTCTGTTGACAGTTCCCCGATTTCCGTTTTGTTTTCTTCCTGAAAGACCGGATAAGTACGGTTATGGCGTGCGACATGGCTGTTTGATTTTATACGACCTTAATTCGCTTTTATGGCTTCGGATTCTGGATCATGCGCGTAAAAACATGGAAACAGGCTTACACGCAAACCGTTGTTTCTTTTTTCTCAATCAGAGTTTACTATTTATAATTCTTGATTTGCTTACTATTCTGGTAGACTTGCGATTAGTTAGCGGTCCCTGTGTTCACTTGAGAGAGTGATTATTGGAAAGAAAGTATGTACAGCATCGCGGAGCACTAGTGCTTCCGCGAGCAACTTCTAATGCATTATGTTTGTAACCGATTTACGGCCGTGCAAGGCAAAACCCCCTTTGCGTACAAACAGATTGGGTGTAAATAAATGAATACCGATTGTCTCTGCAACTGACACGGAGTGAACACATAACGATTTGATTAAAAGAGTTAATATCCGATAGGTTATTGTAGAGGAGACCTGTGTTTTTGCGAAGTGCATGAGAATCGCACTTGTAAAAGCCTTTTATTTTTTTATCTAAGAAGGTAATTCTCCCAAATAAATTATGCGTATTCACTAGTATAATGTTGATTACCGATTGAAGCACTAGCAAAAACTGTTTTGCAAATGGAAGCATATTGCAACTAAATTGGTTCACCAAAATGCCTCCAAAATACCATAATTCATCTGCAAAATGTAGTGCTTATTTCCCATGATTCTATTTTATTTCCTTTTTATCTTCTAAATATATTTTTATTGAATCTTAAGTGGAGTGGTTGTAAAATGTATTTCTTTATTTGAAAGTTGAAAGCCACGCAACCTGTAGACGTTCGCTTATATCATTTATCATCTATCATCTTAATGTGACCGTCACAGAAATCTGCTAAATCAAGCTAGGTTTCCGGTTAGAAAGAAGAGGTGAACTATCATTATCACGTTCTAATCTTTGATAATACACCATTTCTCGTTTTGCTTTATTGTTTCTATACATCAAACGGTCGAACTGAGGAGTTACTTACCGGTAAAGTACATCACATGTGAGACTTATACAAGCACTATATCCGAGAATGGAAGTTTAACCACACAAAACTGCTTTCTCCTATTCATCCTATGTAATGGGTGCTTAGCAACCGGATCGTACCAGATGAAACATCTACTAAGAAACCCACGACACGGATCGTGTAAGCCAGTACCGATGGGTAACTTGACCCGAATGTCCTCAGTAAAATGACTCACGTGACACCCAGAAATATTGAAAGGAAATAGTCATTAATTTTGAAAATAATTGAAAGTTTCTTTTAAGAAATAAAAGAGCTTTTAATGTAATGTATTATTTGCCGATTTAACCCTTTGTCGCGATCATTAGGCACTACATACATACATATTACAATCACGCCCTGAGTTAATTTGACGGTTGCTAATGGGCGAGAGAGGGGGGTTGTGTGGTAACCACAACTGTTGTTGCTATGACAATTCGTCCAATAATTATGCGAAAGTTGTCGGACACCTATAAAAAAGAACGTTTGTGTTTGAATAAAATAATACGAAGTTTGTCAAAGTGGATTAGAACGTTACGACTCGAAAAAAGTTATCATAAGTAAATTACAGATATATTTTCAGATTTAAATAAGCTTGGAATCTCTATGAAGACCGACAAAGGGTACTCAATAGTTGCTTTATCCTGTTCAGCAAATGTCAGCAGTACACACATTTTGTGTCTCTACTGCAACCAAATCCATGAAACTTTGAGTTCGTTTCCGAAACCCTTATCCTTGAGCTAAAAGATCGACGCTCCACACTCATAGCAAATTGTTCATCCAGGATATTTGACAGTGCTCAGGCCCAGTAAAATACCGAAAGGCCTAATGCAAACGAAATACTCTGAATTGACTTAGCCATTCTCTCGAGATTTGGTTGTGGACCGTGTTGATCATGTTGACGGGGTTCGACTTAAAACTCGAAGTTTGACGGTTTTTAGTTACTGCAGGGACTTTTCTCCAAAGAATTGAAGTTGCGTCCAGGATCACCGAAAGCGACTGGTCTTCTTGAACAACTGAACGGATATATTACTCAAATTCAGTAAAGAGTGCACTTTATTCATTCGTTGTGGACCAAATTTTCAGTTAAAAAGTTATCACATTTGTTTTGGCATACATACTATTTAAATTAATTTAAAGACTTGACCCTAAAAGGGTCGTGAAAGCATTCTCTACTCCACAAAGTAAAACTATTTACTTGACGCTAGTTTGCTTGGTCACCGCATTCGTGCCCTCAGAAACGGCGTGCGTTGCAAGTTCACCGGGCAGTAATAGACGAATAGCAGTTTGGATTTCTCTGCTCATGATGGTTGACCGCCTGTTTCAGTGGGCAAGATGTTTGGACTCGGCGTCAATGCGCTCGAAAATATCGTTCGCAAACGAGTTCATGATCGACATCGCCTTCGAGGAGATACCAGTGCCAGGATTCACTTGACGCAACACCTTGCAGATGTAGATCGCACAACTCTCCTTCCTTCTCCTCTGCTTCTTCTTCTTGTCCACCTTAAGTAAATGCACTGTAGAAGCCTTCTTCGCAGCTTTGCCAGATACAATAGTAAAATCGCCTCGTTAAAAACATGACATTTTGTAAGTTGACAGTGATGAAGAGGAACCGAGAACGCTTAGCAAATGTAGAAAAATGCAGCATCAAAATGTACGTGAAACTGTGTGGTAATCCGTTTGATATTCGTTCCCTGGAAACCGATAAACGAGAAGGTAAGATAGGACGGAATTGTGAAAAGCTGTAGTGCTAGTGTACAAGGGTTTTAATTTATTGCCAGTGACAGAAGTGAAAATTGGAGCGAGATGGAATTGCACGTAAAGCTTGTGATGAATCAGATGGTCACAGGCCTCAAGGTGTTGGATGACAATGGAGTTGACCAGCGTCACAAAAGAGGTAGCTATATAACTAGAGATGCTTTTCAGAAAGTGCATGACCAATATTAAATCCTTAGATAACAGACCGGGGAAGTTAACGGGTGAGTTGTAGGTCCTATGGTTTAACACGCACAAGAAAATAAATTTAAAAACGATATACGATGGTACCCTCAGGTATGAAATGCAAAAAGCCAGATTTTTAACTTTAGAAAATGTTTGTTGTACGTGGCAGACGGAAAACATCCAAGGTATTTGAAGTGTTGTGGCAAATATGCTACACAAAATTCGACCGAAGCAACCGAGCTGCACTGTGTTACCACGATACATAAATAAACAAACGGATGTATATGTTAAGTTATGTTGTGAAGCCTCAAATACTTGGCATTGTATGTGAATCTGTCTGTTTCACTTGCTACTTAGGCTGTGCGAGTACAATATACAAAGAAAAAAGATTTTCAATATTGGCATTGGGACTAAGATTACTTTTCATTCCATAGGTCGTTCACATTCATTTCCACCTGTTCCTCGAGTTCAGTAATTTGTTTACCAGCAGTTCAACATTGGAGTAAAGAGTATTCGAAGATAAGACGGCAAAGACGAACGCGGCCTAATGAAGATACATAAGAAAAGATTGGTTAAAGTCAAGAGTGGGTCTGCCACAGAAGAACTGGGTTTCAGAAGTATCGGTTTCATCTGTGCACAGCGGTGATATTGCCTGGTCTGACCCACAAAACATCTTCAGACAATACCTTCAGCTCGGATAAACCTCTAACACTAACTACCGCATTCCCAGCTATANATAGTCATTTAACGATACGTATTTCAAATCATATACAAAATTGCATACAGCCTACCTGCAACGAATTCTTTCAACTGATGACCAGAACCAATTTTGTTCATGTCGTGTTATTTGCTTTATTCAAATAATTGATAAAGACCGATGTGAGATAACCCACAAAACAACGTAGTTGATAGAGGTTCATAAGCAACAATTGCCAAACGGAAAGCACAATCCACTCCTAATTGTCTCACTCAAAGTGAATCAAAGGGGACACCTTCAATTTTGAATCAGCAGATCTCATTGACCAAGCCCAGCTAAAACATCCGAGTGCGTCTAGAAGCTTGGCACTTTTGATTAACAATGAACAAGGGGTAAGTTCGATGTGTACACAACGATGCCACTTGTGGATCAAAATCTACCAGAGTAGAAAGTTCACTCCATGACCTGGTAACGGATTAAAGAACCACTCAAAATGACCAAAATAATCCCCTCCATGTTTGTCTATTAGCAAAACCGGAATAAAATAATGGGACGAAGGGAAATCGTTGCTCAGAAATTACAGACTTAAACGACGAAGGAAAAAAAGATGCCAAATAACACAACAAACATTTAAGATTTCACCTCAGCTGGTGATGAGACGTCTACAAATAAATTACATAAATGTCTGTGTTGTTGTTGACATCCATAAACACTGATTCGTTTTCTTGAATAAGATAGTTACTAGTTAAAAAACGCAATGATTCCATCGGTTAGTAAGCCGGACTTTTAACCTGTTCACACACTGTTGGCCAAGGACGAGTCAGCACTGCACTGTGCTAGAATAAGATTGCATTTTGGATGGCCACAAATCTGTGTTTAATATACATTCCTCATGACTGGATCAAATCACTGAAAACTTTTATCTGTGACCTTGTGTTTTGTTGCATTTCGCAAAGACCGTTTTAGCCCTACACCACACACTTTGTTCCACAGGACATTATATCGTTATGTGTATATTGTATCTGAGATATGCCATCTTATTCAAATCGTCATCCTGGAACAAGCAAATCTAAGCAACTTTTAGTGGTGTCATTTACTCCCACTCACCAAAGACCGGTGAATGGAATGAGGTTAGTACCTTCTTGTGTTGTTTTTCATTTTCAGTCTTCCTGATTTCTCGTGTTTCTTTTTCTGATGCGTATAAAACTTACAACCATTGAATACTTTCCAGCAGAAATGCTACCCCACATTACACGGGCTACAGCCCCAGCGAACAAGTGGAAATAGAGATAGCACTGGGAGTGGCAAACAAGCTCGTTTTCAGTTATTCAAAGTCATACCAATACACCACAAAAATGCCATTACGTTTATATACCTATTACATACATTACATTCATATATTATCAGCTATAAACAACCAACTAATTGTTTTGGAAAATGGAAAATTAACGCAGTAAATTAGTTAAAGCTAATTTCGTCTTCTGATCGGACATAGGATTCTTAGTGATCACATAACTGTTAGGTCATCCAATCGTTGGGATTAGTCGGGGATATAGTGTGGGTGGGTGGATGGGTGAACGGTGAGCCAGGGAAGCTGAAACGCTTGAACGAATTGCTTTTGGGTGCACAGAGGGGGAGTGCAGGCGAATTGCAACCGCTTACACTGTATCGAACGCAAAAGGTCGAACCTGTCTTGGTAGTTAACCACACAGTCTATACAGGAATCTGAGTTCGTCGATCAAATTTATTAACAAGAGGATTGTGTGGCCATCCAAAGTTTAATCCCGGACGTGTTTCTTTGCTTATGGTGCAGCAGCTTCCTCCGTATCGGTTCGATGATCTCACTAATACGATTTATTTCGCCGTAGTGCATCCAACGAAATAGTTGGATAATTTGATTAAATTGATGAAGTCATCGAGGTAGTCATCCATACCAAGCCATTATCATATGACTTCCGCGTGTAGGTGGTGGTTAGTTGTTGATGGAAGATCTATAGTTCTGGACACATTATCAACTATAATTGGTTCTAACGGGATAGTATAGTTTATCTACTGAAATTCATTCGACTTCGAAGTGATTGTTTGCACAAGCTGTTGTTCCCTTTATATTAAATATTTTCTGCACAACTGTTTGTGTCTGTCGCTATTGTTTATCAGCCTATTGATTTGACCCGTTGTGAGCTATGTTTCAAACTCACGAAAAAGCTCGCTGGTGTAATCAGTACTGATACATCATTAGGAAACGCTCCACTTGTATAGCCAATTCTGCAAACAAGCTCCGGTAAGTTACTCTGTTGCCCTGTTGCCAGTGTGTACCCATCGAATTCCCAAAGGGTTTTAAAGTCAGACATGGTTAGTTCTGTTTTCCACGTATTTACCACATTGTTCATATGGTCAGGGTGTCAACAGCTTTGGTCCCGGTGAATAGCACATAATATGGTATCAATCCTGCATCATCGATAGACGAAACGAAGGTAAGCAGACAAACATGGCTGTCTGCTGTTGTACTACAAATTGCTGGTAAAATACTACTTTTGAAAAAAAAATTGGAAGTTTGCTAACATTGGTACTGATTAGTTACCAACCCAGTGTGAAGCTCAAATCATTGTTGATTGTTTGATTATGCAACGTGAGTTTAACTATGTGTTTATCAGTACCCAAACTTCACCCCTCTCCAATCCCAGTTTCACAACTGAAAATCATTTGAGAATATGTTTGTAATGGTTAGTAATGATTGAAATACCATTCAATTTATAAACAATTTTAAAATGTTTTAGTACTATTCTCAAAGTTTCATTGACATTTTATGAACCAAATTTTAATCCGTTTCTAAATAAGGCAAATAAATCCATTTAATAAGTTCGATATTCAGATTAATTGTGAAAGTATTGTTCAGACTCTGACAAATCCAAGTATTACATCGCACGAGTTAGCGGCACAGGTAATAGGCAAATATTTATGTTGTGTTTGACGGAGGCCCCATTTTGACGTGACCAACAGGTATAGAGTTCTGTTACGTTTAAGCTGGCATTATTGGTAACCAAATACAGTGACAGAGTTATTCAAGTTGTTTTGTATTATATATGTGCGCAAATCTTAATGAAAAACCCAAGACTCGCATACCACGGAAACACCTGGATCAAATCATCGAATAATCGCACGGTTCTGTCTTTCCATCTACCATATTGTATCTGTTCTATTTGTTCACCAGTCCTCATTCAAGGCTAATATGAAACGTTTGCAGACACCCGTAAAAGAGGTCGGATGAATTAGGGAGTTCTGGCTTCACGCCATGAATTGGGTTCAGTGTAATCTTTTAAACAACCAGTACCGTTCACACTTGTAATGCACCCATCTCCTGTTAACTTTACCATGTGTTCACAGAAACCCAGCACCGAATGGTCAGGCGTCTTTCCTCCGGAGGCGGAGTTCTTACTGTCTCAACATGCAGAACATGCGGGACTCAGTGAAGTACACACCGCAATGTGGTGAGTAAATGCCAGAGACCCCTTGTGAACCTCGAGATGTGACTAATGAATATTGTGAATGTGCTACAGAATATGATCATGTATTATAACTAGACCGAGTCAATTTTCTCTTAACCGTTTAACCGTTTCCGCTGGTAACCAGGATTATCATGTGATATGTCCAAGTAGATCTGGGGTTCACAAATGGATAAAGTTATATCGTTTAGGTCAGGTAAACAATTACTACAAGGTCATTTGATAAATGTTAATATGACCAGAGGTAATTGTAAATTCTCAGCGTTTTAAAAAATGGTTCATGTAGCAACCAGCTGATATTTCTTGGTCCCATCATCAAACACCCACCGTACATGCACGGTTCCCGTTGTGTTTATAACGGTACAACCCGATTATGACTTTAGTCAGTTTGCCTTAGCGCATCAAAACCAGAATGGCTGAATTCGCCCTCCTGCACTCGTACAGAGTTTCTTTCCTCCAATTTTACCACATGGCGTCATCCAGTTTATTTATATTCGGTTTCCGGCTCTATGAAAACAACTTCACACACGATGTTTTCTGTTTGATGACCAGTTTAACGGTGTGGAACGGAACCGAGCTAGTTATTGGCTTCTAGGAGCCTGTTCTTCACCAAGTCGGTTTATCCGCATATCATCAACATCGTCAACCAGTGTAATACACCAAAGTGAACTTCCTTGCTCAACGTCAAACTTGTACTGCACATAACATATATACGAATGGGTACAACTGATGAAGGATGGACCTGTCTCGAGGTGACATAACCGAAGGCGAATCTCCATGGTCAACACAAAGAGTGCGGAGTGCATTTGTGTACACACATCCTAAAGCATTTTTTTCCATATACAATGCGAGAACAAGAACACTTCTGCCCTTGGTTTGTTATCAGGTTAGAATCCAACCGGTTATTCACTGACAGTAAGGTCTCTTAAAGGTAATCAGTCGTCGAGGTGCGATAGAAGCAAATAATTTGGTTACGATTTGATTAAAATGTATTTCGTGATGTTTTGTGCAGTTCTTGTAAAATTCCCTATTGAAAATGACAACTATCACTAATTAGAGCCAGGATGATGAAATTCACTCTTGTGACCAGAGTTGTTACAGTATGTCATCGAAAGACTCTACGCGGTTTTCACACTCGTCTCCAAAAGAGTGACGAGAAGACTCCAGCTCCCGCTACTTTCCCTCACCTCATAGTTCGCGTGTAGGACTTTCATTCTGCTTCACAAAGAGATAACATAAACCACAGAGCTCCAAATTCAACAGACCAGATTAGATGGCCAGCCCCAGGCAAGCCAAACCGTTCCTTATCTTGAAAGTGTTAGCAATAGCTCCTTGGCTTCCGTGACCTTGAATAATCACAAATATCTTAGGATATTGTATCCTCTTAAAAATACATTTGTATGAAACGTCTTTTTATTCTAGCTGTGAATGGATTGAGTTTAAGCACGCGGAAATGTATCACGTGATCTGTGGCTCGTCTGATGATACTGATTACCAATTACTCGAGGATAGTTTGCTTTCTTCCTGTTAGTTCATCTAATGAGGATTATGTTGACATACGAACCACTTGATTAGGATATCACAAAACTGAGTCAAGTTGATATGGGATTCCTGAATACCAATGGTAACCTCTAAACACTTTTAGAATTTTGGATACTGATAATAAATTGATGCGAAAAATAATAAGCACTGGGAGGAAAATAACCAGTGTGCATCCATTTCAAGTTTCTGAGAAGAATTCGGAGAGCCAGAAGCAGATTACTTAGCTAAGAGAGGCCTAAATGACTGACCATTTTGGCTGTTTGCGCAGCGCGATCTGATGACTATTGACGGTCAGAGCTTCGACATATTTAAGTAATTTTGCATTTATGAGGATTTGATCATGATTTACTCATATCTGAGTCAAAGAGCCTGACTCAGCTTACCTAATGGAATTGACAAATGCAATGAAATTTGGTTTATGCAGAATGCTATAACTTTTTCGTGGATAGTACTGACATCCAGGCGAGCATAATAATACTTTTGTCAGTTCGGGTTGGACAGGTGTAGTGAACTCTACGGTCGGGAGTCGTACCTTTTTCACACATTCGACTATCAGTTCTTTGAAAACAGGAGTAAATGAACTAAACAAAAACCTGAAGGACTGTATTTCGAATCTTATTTGGGGGACACATGGTATATAAAATCACTCAAACAAATTCGAAACAGTTTCCTGGTATTTGTTTTTGCTCAGTAAATAGAATATTTCGATGAAAAAAACGAATGGAAAATTAAGAAGACAATGCAATTATTTACATGGACTCTTGTATTCATGTTTTTTTCACATTGGCCATAAATTGCTGTTGAGCTTCTGTCTCTCTCAATCCTGTATCACAATAGGTTTAACGATGTTCCGAAAGCTCTGTTGCCCTAGTTTCAGTGATTCAATCGCGGACAAGGTTCGTGCAGCATCGATTCGTTATCTCTAATACAATTCTTGCCGAACCAGTCATGAGATAGCTAAGTGGACAATACAAGTGTTATTAGTAGTAGTTTATCGTCTAGTGTGAAAAACAAATCACATTAACAGAAACATCGAATCGAGTGAATCACGTGCAACAAACTTTGCGTTTATGCGTGAATGAATAATCCATCGGTAAATAACGTACCGGTGAATAACTCTTACACGTGGCGGGCTGTATACAAATGGACTGTGATTGGATGGGTCCTGCTGTTATTGATTACACGGAAAAACAACGAATAGCAAGCGTTTCACGTCTGATTGTTTTCTCATGATAGGATTGAAACAATAGGATTTGTGTTTTGTACATGTTGCTATCGTGCACCATATTGATAATAACTCAGAACAGTAATAAAACAACTACTTTTTAAAAGCTTTAATCAGTGACACACAAATCATTCATCTAAGACTAGTGTTTTTTCTCACGTTTTAGGGGACGTAAAATAACAAGGATGGAAGTCAATGTCAATTAAATGTTTCAACCGGGTGGTTGAGAAACCATTCATATAAAGAGTTTTTTCCATAAAAACGATTTTTAAAAGATAATGTTTTTTCTAAAAT